CTCTTTCGAAAGAGGCTTGCAGTCTAGACATAGCCTAGCAGTCCCACCATCTCCGGTGGTGCTACTCACATGCTTAAAGCGAGGCACAAGCTAAAAGTGCCTTGGTGAATCATATTTAAAACACTTGCTCACGCCCTCAAAGAAAAAGTTGGAGAGAAGCGGGGAAGGGGTGGTGTTTAAAAACTCAGATGATCCTGATTCTCAGCTTTGCATCCACACAACTCAAACACGGCCTTCTTACACTACCCACAGGGCAAGATTTGAGCCTGCAATGGTAACACACTACCATATGCATGTATTTCCCAAGGAACAAATGTAAAATAGAAAGCTTGCACCAAGAAAGGTTACATATTTAGCGTGGCAGGGTTTGGGTCTCACCTTGCACGGATGTAACTCATGAATGGGGTTACGTCAGTGTGTGAGAGAGAGAGGTGTGAGAGGAAAGTCAGACTCATAGGCTCTCTGAAGTCAGGGTGGGAATCACAGGGGGCGTAAATCATTGCAGAGTTCACCTCCTTACACCCAAACTCAGACATTTTTAGTGACCATTCACAGTGAGCCTGACACATTTAAAGATGAGGCCGGGAGCTTCCCTTCTACATCACCAGTCCACATTCAGCATCACACACACCTGGTTGATTCCAGAGAGCCTGTATGACTGCAGCTCTCAATAAATATCAATACAGGTAAAAGGGCAGCACTCCTTTGAATAACGCTTCTTTCAGTAGCACCTCCTTGGTGCAATCTCATGCACCAAATTCCGCGTGTCCTTCTTCCGTTGCCCTGGAGGGGCGTTCCCAACCCAGAATGAGCACGGACTATGCGACAATGAGAAAAGGATTTTGCTCTCATCCAAGACACGTGGTATTGAGCAGTATCCAATATTTTCTCACTGTTGCGCGTAGCAAGCCCATTATAAATAGTGTTGATAAACTGCTATGTCAGAAAATGATGAAATCGTAGCTGATTATCTTCCAGCAGTATAATAAGAGAGATTTCATTAAAGGCTCATAAAGCAAAGCCCCTCTGAATACTTGGCAGTCACAAAGTAATTATCTCTGTAGTAACTTTTCTGACATTTCCTGCTCAGAGTATAAATTATGCAGCCAAGGTGAGCCATATATCTATTGTACCTGGCTTGCTTTCTACATATGCATTTCTTTACTGTATGATGCAAGGGAATAACAGTATTTTCTTGCTATTAATGCAGCATTATGACCCACCTTATAGAGTGCAGATGTAGATGCAGATCCAACAGCATATGCTACCCCGATAATTGAATCACCATGGAAACCATCTGCATATGCCATCATAACAATTCCTGTGATTGCCATTATTGCTGCAACTATCTGTACAAGCAAAGCAAAGAAATTTAAAGCTCAGTGCAACTTTATTAGAAGGAAAGAGATTAGATTATCTCTGTGCGCTGTTACGATAGTTACCAGCTCCTAGCTCTAACTTTAGCTCTTCTAGTTTCCTCTTAAATAGGTGATTATGCAGCTATTGAGAGAGATGTAACATAACAATGAAGGTACATGCATCACGAACTACAAGAATCTGTAACATCACAGAGTCTCCTGGCACCTATTGATAGAACTTTTCTCTTACATTGTTTTTAGATTAACAGCCACTTTGCACAATGATTCCCAAGATTAAGACAGTTGGAGCACAATATTATCTGTACAAACTGCATTTGCTTTTAAACATAAGTCTTCAGTAAGGCTACAGATAGTGGATTTTCAAAGGAACAGAAGGGCGTTTCGTGCCCAACTTTCAGTGGGACGTGTGAGTAAAATTTCCAAAGGCACCCAGATGTTTTTGGCTTTTAAATCTAAGTGGGATTTTGGACCTGAAGGCCTTGTCTACACTGGGGAAATGACCAGCGTAGCATTACAGAATGAGTATTTCTGCAATACCTCCCTGTGTGGACATTCTGTTTTGGGCTAGAAGTCACTTTTATTTTGGAATGGTGTCCACTCCTGAGGTACAGCCAGTGCAGAGTAGTTTATTCCACAAAAGCAATGTCAGTCAATTTCCCCAAGCAGTCGAGGCCTGCATAGTTATGTGCTTTGAAAATTTTACTCTGGGTGCCTAACTCCCATGAGCTCCAAATCCCAGCTAGCATTTCTCACTGAACTTGGAATGAGAGTTTGGGAATCGTAGAATACTAGAACTGGAAGGGACCTTGAGAAGTCATCGAGTCCAGTCCCCTGTCCCCATGGCAGGACCAAGAACCTCTAGACCATCCATGATAGATTATGTAACCTGCTCTTAAATATCTCTAAAGATGGAGATTCCACAACCTCCCTGGGCAATTTATTCCAGTGTTAAACCACCCTGACAGTTAGGAACTTTTTCCTAATGCCCACCTAAACCTCCCTTGTTGCAGTTTAAGCCCGTTGCTTCTTGTCCTATCCTCAGAGGCCAAGGAGAATAATTTTTCTCCCTCTTCCTTGACACTCCCTTTTAGAACGATCTATACTGGGTAATATTGAACCTGGATTTTACATCAACATGCACTGCTAGATTGTGCACCTCTTCCCAAATGCAGGAGTACATTTTCCAGGAGGCTTGCGGGGGCAACTTTTCACTCCATGGGCTGCACTAACAGGCCCTTTGCAGTGTATGGAAACCTGTCCTTTTTAATGATCAAGCTTACATGTCATGAGCCAACTTTTCCAACAGTTTCCGGAAGTTAGGTATCTAAACGTGGGGAGATTTCCAAAGTCACAGATGACAGGCAGGTGCCCACCGCCCAGCAAGAATTGGACACCTCTCTACCCTTCGTGCCTTTACAAGTCTCCCCCTCTTGAATTAGGTTCCTGGTCCTAAATTAAACAGCTAAACAAGGGGCCTGAATGTCAAAGGTGCTGAGCAGTGGAGATGACAGCCTCCACTGGGCAATGTGGGTGGGGGGAGCCTGGCTCCGCACCCTTGAAAGGAGCAGGGCCTCAGGTGCAATGGGTGAAGCCAGTGGCAACAAGCCACCAGTGCAGCTCAGAGCATGGTGTTACCCCCCCCCCAGCTCTCAGAGCTGCAGCAGGCCTAGGGCTCTGGCTGCCACATTAGCAATTGCTCCTCCCTCCCCTCGCCCCAGTCAGTGGGCCTGGTTCTGAGTGTCCACAGCTCCCACGGACTTCCAAGGGTGCTATGGTAGCTCAGACCTTCCGAAAATCAGGCTCCCGTGTTGAAAATCAGGCTCCATCTACATAATTTCTTTACACTGTTAAACTCTATGACACCAAATGTTCAGGCCTGAGTTGAAAAAGCCACCTTGCCTCAACGATTTGATGGCTCCGAATTTTAAAACCAGCATTTTGCTCCCCCGACGCTCATCTGCGCTCACAGAGTTGCAGGTTCAAACTAACCAGAGGCCGGGCGGAGGCTCCATTTCAAAATCACTTTGGGGAGGAGGGGCTATTCAAACCTATCTAGAAACGGGGTCTGTGCTCTCTGTGGCACAAAGCAATTCTTTCTTGGGCTGCCAAGTGGGCCAGGTCCCAGGATCATGGCTCTAGTCTGGCCATACGCCTGCTCTTCCATTGTTGTAAAATCAAGTGCTTGGTAGAAGCCCTCAGGAACCAATGTCTTTGTGGCAGATTTAAAACCAGTCCAGCAGGTAAATAACAAAGGCTATGTCTGCACTAGCGCTGTTGTCAGCAAACCTTTTGTCAGTCCAGGGTATGAAAAGCACACCCACACACCCGACTGACTTAAGTTTCACTGACAAAAGGACCGGTCTGAATAGTGCTATATTGGCAGGAAACACTCACCGGCTGACACAGCTACCATCGCTTGTTGGGGGTGCCAACTAGAGAGCTCTCTCCTGCCAGCACAAAGCAAAAACACAAAAGCCCTCCCAGCGGTGCAACCTCAGCAGTACCTGTGCCATTGTAAGTAGTGTAGACACAGTCCCCAGCTATGATTTTGTGGGTTAGGCCGGGCTGCTTGCAGTGAGCCCTATTTCAACTCTTTTCATAGCTACCTGTTGCACTGTGCTACAGCATACGCAGCAGGGTGCCCTTTTCTTCTTCATTTCAGGGCCAACACAGACAAGCTGTAAGTCATTTTGAACTTTTCATTGTCAGTTTCTTTATGAAGAAAAACACACACACACAAAACCAAGCAAAAAATCTGCCACTTTAAAAACAAACAATGGTTTTCCTCTAGAAATTAAACAAAAACGTAGCTCAAAAAGCCAAGACTGGGTAGTCTCCTCTTATTTTAATATCAATTATTATTCCAATTGAAATGTTACATTAGCATCCCCAGCCTTGCTTATGGGAGTAAAAAGCTAACGTCCCCAAGTGCTCCAGGCACACTGTCACAACAGCCCAGCAGAGAGCCAGGATAAATATGGCCAAACGGACTGCTTACGGGAGTAAAAAGCTAACTTCCCCAGGTGCTCCAGGCAGACTGTCACAACAGCCCAGCAAAGAGCCAGGATAAATATGGCCAAACGGAGTCTATTTTTGTGTCACAAAAGGTGTGTGCAGAATTGATCATATGCAGGAGAGGCACAAAATTGTACACAACTTGAATGAGAAACAACACGCTGTTTTGGCACTGAGCATATAGAACAGTGGTGAATGGCAATTAATCTTGAAACGGCAGATTGTTCAAAGTGAGGCAGTTTGTGCCAAGTAGAACTGTTCAGTTCTCCTACAGTTCCACTTACTCTTATTGTAGTACCAATGCCTGTCTTCTGGCTATACATTTTACAAAGGGGTGTCTGTCTGTCTGTGAGTCCGTTTGTTCAAGAACTCCTCCTACATGTTAAGAGGTAGGGCCATCAAGTTTGGCATGCAGCTTCCTCTTATAATAACTTAAAGCAAGGTCAGGGTTTGGCTATGCCAGGATAATGGGATATGCCTGGAATTCAATTGTTTCTCATAAAATGGAAAGGAGGGGTCTGGTAGGAGTGACAGTTATACTGCAGAATGACCACAGGGAGGCACCAAAGGACCCAGGACAGCTATAACCCCAGTGAGCCAGCAGGGGGGCAGGAGTGGAGAAAGGGACAGCTCTCTCTAATATATTTCAGAGACGTTGTGTGTCTGTCTGTCTCTGTCTGTCCCCCAGCAATATATTTCAGAGACGTTGTATGTCTGTCTGTCTCTGTCTGTCCCCCAGCCCAGGGACATGCACCCCTCCCCGGCTATGCCTGCTACAGTTGCAGTAGCCATGGACAGAGGTGTCGCAAACTGGCCCCAAATTGCTGTGGTGAGACAGCGCTGAGGTAGTCCTCTGACTCCTTGGCAGCCTGAATAGTGAACCCCTCATTCCCACCCCTCCCCAGAGCAATGATTTAAATGAAGAAAAACAAAACTATTTGAGTTCAGGACCCTAACAGCACGGAGTAAATCTTCTAGTTTCTTCTATAGCACTTTTCATTAGGAGATCACAAAGCACATCACATGCTTGTATTTCTTCCTCACAACACCCCGGTGCGGCAGGGAAGCATGTTATCTGCATTTTACAAAGGGGAATGAAGGCAAAGAGAGGCTATGTGACTTGTCCACGGTTACAGAGGAAGTCAGTGGCAGAGCAATGAATTGAACCTGGGTTTCCCTATGGCTCAGGCGGGTGGATCATCCTTCTCACCTTCAATGGCAGATTTCAATGGAAATCAGGCATTTAAATGTTTTTGAGGTTTTGAGCCTAAGTCACTTTTGAAAATTGGATTTGGAGGGCCAGCCTTTTAAAGATATTAAGTACCAATGCCATAAGTAGGTGCCTAATAACATTTTTAAAGTGCTTAAATATGTTAAGACATCTAACCTGTTTACATCACGGGAGGTTAGGTCCCTAACCTCACTGGGTGCTTTTGAAAATGTTACCCTACATCTCTTATCTATGCCTCTTCTTCAAATGTGTCAGCTACCAACAGTACAAATGTACAACACAATACACTTCATTTGATCCACTAGTTTAGGTTCCTTTTTGGAACGTTTCTGTAAAACAGCCATTGCTATGGAAAATGAAACCCCAGAAAAATGCAACCTTGTATGAGCTCTCTGTATCTGGGTACGGGGAGAAGGGCAGGTTAGATAGTCACAGTAATCCCATCCCACTGTTCACCTCATTCCTGCCTGGGAAACAGACGTTCATGCATTGACCTCAACATACTCATAACTCTTCTAGCTCTTCATTAAAACACTGACACTAATACAGTCTTATGCTTTAGGGCTTCAAGTGGCTGCCTGAAAGGATCAGGAAGGAATTTTCCCCAATGCACAACTGGAGATGTATCTTGGGTTTTCCTTTTGTTTGTCCCCCCCCCCCTTCCTCAGAAGCATCAGAGATTAGCCACAGCAGGAGATGGGGCACTGGTTGGAGTAGAGCAGTG